GCTCAGCAGCTGCAAGTGCTGTCTGAAAGCCTCAGTGAGGAGGGAGGGAAATCACTCGTGCAACAACTCTGTTTCATACATGCTTTGCTGCAAAAAAATGCTGGGGTTTTTCCCTTTTTGATGATAAGAACTGATTCCAGATGCATGACATCACTTGTGAAGAAACTGTTGGTGTTAGCAAGAGTTGTAGTGCCCTGAGTTTGCCCAGCTTAAAACTGCCAGCACTAGAGCATTACTTGTTCCTAGGGCACTTGCTCTTTCCTTTACATCCTGGGTTTATTTGGTGTTTACACAATATCATGGAATCATAATATGGTTTGGGTTGGAAGGCACTTTAAAGACCATCTAGTTTCAACCCTCCTGCCATGGGCAGGGACAGCTTTCCTGAGACCAAGATGCATAGTTATGTGTTCAACTGCCTTGCTAACCTCTCAGTAGCAGAACTTATGTGATTATAATGAACAACTTAAGTACAACTTATACTAAACTTTGTTGAAGGGATGTAAGTCAACATGAAATGCTACATTCCAAGGTCTCTCTAACACGTGACACCAATCTGACTCCTTCTTCCTGAAACAACAAGTTTTAAACTTCACAGTTAGTGACAAGCACTTGTTTCTCAATCGAGTCAGCAAAGCGCTTTTAGCTGCTACAATGGACCTTTAGTTAAAGGAAATATTGGTGAAGCAGCAGTAGAAGAGTTTAACTGTCCAGTCACAAAAGAGGGGTGCAGCAGGACCTCTGGTCCCAGCATCCTCCAAGTTAAGCTCAGAGGAAATCCAAATCCTAACCTGTCATCCCCATCTAAGCAGAACCTGCATGCTTTTCCTGGCATTTCCCAGAACAGGTACATCACCTACTGTTTGGGCTAAACTCTCAACACTTTCCAGCAATTCTTAGCAATGCCAGAACCAGAGAGCCCTTAGGTATATAAGTAGCATCAAGAAGTCAATTAACAACCTGGGTTTGAGTGTCAATAGTAAGACTTTATTTCAGGTATTCTCTTTAGTCATTTAAGATATCTTGTGTTGTCCAATATACTCCCTAATCAGTGAACTACTCCATTTTCTGGTATGCTCATACAGATTTCCCTAGGAAGTGTTGACAGTAGGCTCAAACCAGTCCTGTAGCTAAGGAAAGAGAGATCAAAAACATTTTCACTGTTTTCATTCATTTCCCTTTGCCACTATCAGCAAACACAATGAAATCAGAGTTTCTGTGGCTTTAGGCTGCTGCTCAGAAGAAAATTGCCAGCACTTTGGGTATATCTTCCTCTGGTGTTGGTGGTTTCCTCTGGCTGCCAGGCTGCAGGAATTTCTTTATTGTGGGGATATTGCTTATTCTTGCTTTAAAACTCTACAAAACAAAACCAAAACAGCACTGTGCTTAAGAAGCATTGTAACAGTCAGACATTTTGATGTTATCCATGCTCTAAAAGTAACATTATGCATTGATGCTGCAGAAGAAACTACATGGTTCCCTCTACTATGTTTTGTGGCTGCAAAGACAGAAGCTGGCAATAACCATCAGTATTTGAGGTCAGCTATAAAAGTACTTAGGATATTTGGTTATTTTGTAAGTCACTTGTCACCCTCCCACTCTCCCCTGTTTCTCAGCCAGTTTAAATCGGTGGTCCCTTCCAATGCATTGTCCATTAAAACTGTCCATTCATTTACCTGCAAGAGAGGAAATTTGGCAAGTATATCAGGTTGGAACTCTTCTGCCATTAAAATGATTTCAAGTAGCTGCACATCTGCCCTGGTTAACCGGTTGCCAACAAGAAAGTCTTGTCCATGGTCTTTCAAAACCTAAAAACAGAGAACCAGATGATTTCTTTTCTCTCTGTTACTTAATATGATATCTTCACAGCAAGGTCATACACTGCACAGAGTTGTCCTTGAAAGAAAGAAACGCAGTACAAACATCTGTAGTACAAACAAATGGTCTGATCTTCCTAGGCATGATTAATCAGTCCCTTCTTTCCTGTGTTTCTTTCTGTCAGCTCAGCTGTACTCCTCTTGTCTTCACTTCTGTAGCTTAAGCAGTCAATGCCTCTGCATTGAATGCTAAGCTTCATGAGATCCAGAAGGAGCTGTAATGCTTTTACATAGATTGTATGGTAGAGGGGCATCTGCACTTCAGGAGGGAACTTTACGTAAAAGCTGATGCTATAGTTTCTTTTGTCTGAAACAACATATAGACTGAAACATGGACCTTTGCGTAGCTCAGTGAGTCCTGGGGTTTTGCAGCTTTTGCAGCTTTTCCCAGATTTGTAGTGCCTTCTGTCCCCTCTGTAGTGTCCTGTCTCCATCCT